TATTTTTGCCTGTACAATAGTAGATAGTGGTTCACATCTCTAGAAGGAAAAGCATTACAAAAGTAAGAAATTTTATTATTTTAATTTTATCATAATTCATTGAAACTCTGCTCATTTTCTGATGGTATCATGATGCTGTAGGAGAATAAACTGAGTTCAAATTAAACAAATTATGTTTTTAGAATTTTTGATACACGATAGCTTTACTTCAGGCATACCTACCAAATTATAACAAATTGTTAAATCGAAACATTTATTTTTAAATACTGTAAAAAATATATAAATCGATTGTAAATAAAATTGTACTTGTATAAAAATTATAATTATATGTATATATGAAATTTATATTCTATATTTAAGTTTCTTGCCAAAGATATTATTCAAGTAAAAACTAAAACTATATACCATTACAAACCTTTACAATTAAATAGATCTCAATCATTGTTCCTACATCATGTTTCTCAAATAAGGTAAGAATAATCTCTTCGTGTATAATAATATAAGCTGTGTCTGCCCATCTAAAAATAACTAGTTTATTTGCAAAGGGAAGTTATGCTTCGTGAAGAGTCTTCAGGCCTTTATCATTACAAAGATTTATTTACATCCTACGATTGATGCGACTGATCTCGCTAATGCTACCGATGCATCAAATATATTAACATCACAGTAAGTCTTATTTTAACACATGAAAAGTCACATCGAATAATTTTCTTTAAATTTCATTCTCCTACAGCATCAAGATGCCGTTAGAGAATGAATTGAGTTTAAGATGTGCTAACTTTTTAATGAATTGTATTATTTAACAGATTCGGGCCCAGGCAAACCGGCCTATTGCGAAGTCTAATCCTTAGGTTAAGTAAAAAATAAATTTATAAAGTAACTATAAAATCAATTTTTTTAAGGGTTTGTATGAATTAAAAATCGTTATTTATTTAATCATTTTTTTTCGGCATAAAAAAAAAAATGAAAATTCTGATAAAGAGGATGAAAAAAAATAAAAACCCATCAAAAATAAAAAAATATATTTACAAAAAATATTAATTGTTAAAAAAATAATGGTTGAAATGAACAAAATTTATAAATGAGAACAATAGAGGTTGGCTAATTCTGAAAATATACTCATACCCAGCAGCAATATTTCATCAAAAGTTCACTTTTGTCTATATAATGCACCAATTCTATTAGGAATTAAAATAAATTAAATAAATCATTGATTTCATCAAGAAAAGACTTCTTCCTTGACTGACTCTTTAAATATGAAGCAGCCTTAAAGACAATAATTATTAGTGAAGCGTTAGTAATACAAAAATACATAGAAATTGTGATTATCTTTCTGAAGTAAAGCAGCTTTACTCATCTTGTGAAGTGAATAAGTGGACAGGAGTTGTCTACAAAGTTCCTCAAAACCATCATTGATTTCTGCATATCATTTTTGCTCTGATTGAATGTGCATTTGACAGCTTGTGCTTGATCAAAAATAAAATCAATTTAGTAATTTTTTTTTTTCAGTGATGTAAAATAATAAAATTATACTAGTGTATTCATGTATATACGTACCTGTTTGTGTCATCAATATCATCTCCATCTAAGAAATGGCTCATTATGTGATAAGTTTTGCCTATCATATTGTCTTAAGTACATATCTTTGCTGTAATGAAAAAATAGAATGTCCGATTCATCCACTAAAGAAAAGTCTTGATACGTGTATTCAAGTGGTGAAGCAGCAGGTAAATTGATTTGAGAAAATTGTATTTCTTGAACTTCATGTATATAGTCAAGAGAAAACATATTTAAAAGTTCGTTTGGCATTACTAAAGGAATTGGTAATAGGCAATTAAAGAAATTTGTGAAGGATATGAAGATGTTGTAAGTGGTTTAAATATTTCAAGTGCATACATACACCCAAACAATATAGGTAAACCTATTTAAATATCTAAGTGAATTTTAATATTTTTACAAATACTGATAACTGAATTCTCTAATTTAATAGTATATAATTAATACACATACATTAATCATATATATTCTGCAAGTTAAAAATATATATAGATCTGCAATATGCTGTTATTAATTGTATATAAAAGTAGGATTTCTTATCTTATAATATAAAGCCTGGATAGAAAATTTGGACCTTTTTAACACTCACAAAACCAAATACAACAATTTTTAAAGTCTAGTCAAAGACTAGCAGTAAAATAGCCAAATAGCGACGAAGTAACTTATCTGTATTAATTTGAATTTATTTTAATTTTAATTTTAACATTTTTAATTAAAGAAAAGAATGAAAATAAGATTCATATGTTTTCTTATATTTATAA